AATGTAAAATGCCATAGGCTTGTGCTAACAACATTAGCATGGTTTATTTGTTTGGAAAATTTCTTTAGTATGAGACAGTTGTTTTGTTGGTGAACATTTTGTCATATCACCTTTGTTAAATGTTGCTGTTGTCCCTGGCTTCATATGAGTAGAGGAAAAGTCAGCTAGCAGCTAGGCTAATTTTATACAATGTAAAATGCCATAGGCTTGTGCTAATAACATTAGCATGTTGTATTTGTGGGGAAAACGTGTCCAGATAAAGACAAGTATTTGTCTGTGAATGCTGCGAGTTATAGTGAAGCTGATTTGTGTACTTGTGTTTGAAATTGTCTCTATTAAGCCATGTTTAATGTGTGTTTAATGTGTGTTTAATGTGTGTTTTGAATTAACTAAACTTTACAGCACTTCAGAGAAACTCCACCACCGACTAGTGTTTTGGAGGTGTAACTGCAGAATGACACAGACACACCAGTGCACAAGTATAAATGCTCACAATGGCATAGGCCACGTGCATAGGCTACGGCGCAGGGTCTGCATAGAGCCAACGTACAAGTATAAATCCATCTTACAAGTGATGTACCAAAGCTGATTGTACATGCTCTGCCTCTAGATGGTCAGTGTGCATTTAGGTTGCTTCTAAAACTTGAGCTGATATGGTTTCTCATGACTATGAATGATCACAATGGCGAACAGATTTAATTTCCTCATCCACTGGGGCTATGTAGTTGGTTTAACCTTTGACTTCCTTCTAAGTAGCCACCCTTGTGTCTCTGGTTCTTAGCCGCTTTGTTTAGTGGTGTTGTGATCATTCTCGCACCCATGGGGTCACTTAACCCCCCGCTGTCTTTCTGTGTCACTCTGACTCATTGTGGACCCCCTGCTTATGAGCTGAGACCTGTCACAAGAAGGAATGGCTGGGAATGGGCTCAGCTTGGCGATATTCCAGCTACATGAAAACCCTCACACACACACTCACTCTCACACACACAAACATCCTAGCCCTAGAGAGCCGGGCGTCTGTTTCAGCCAGATGTGAGCCATCAGCAGAGAAACGCACAGTCACATGCACACTCACAATGAGACATATTCACAATTATTGCATTTAGTTATATATTATGCACTTGTGTGCATGAATACATAATCACACGCACACACAGCAGTTTCTCCATACAAGCCTCAGAGGAGTGGAACATATGTTTGCTCCCTCACCGCTGGGGAGTGTGGCAAAGCAGGGAGGCGATGTTTATGAGGGAGCGTCATTAATATGACAAAACAAGGCTGGCTGAGGGATTTACTGCACACGCACACTGGTGCTGCCATCATCTGTCAGCGCCTCTTATCGCCATCTTTGCTGCTGTTAGCATAGCTGTTAACATCCCGCCAATCCTAAAGCCCAGTGATTAATCACTGTCTACAGGTGTTCGTTTGTGTATTCTGTACTTGTGTCCAATGGTGAATGAAACATGTAGAGGCCTCGAAACCTATTTTCCCAAGCAGCTCCAAGCAGATCCATGGTGTAGCAGGCTGCTTGGACACAAGCTGGGGACTGATCACCCCCCGCTGGGTTTCCCAGGTGAGGGTGTCCGATGAGCTAAGACTTGAAACATTCTATGACCCTGGGTTCATCACTGATGATGTGTCTAAGCCGCACTATCTGGGTGTTTCAAATAACTTACGATGAATAATGGCCTTACATGAATAAAGTTTTCTGCAAAAGATAAACCTGTTTTGGTTATTTAACATGAGATATTTCTGTAAAGCCATTTTTGTCTGAATTCTTTTTACCGATTTGAAGTTGGAAAGAGGTGTTGTCACGTACTTCCCCGCCTCAATGACAATTTGTCAACATAGAAATAGCACGATGTAAACACGCTCTGTAAAGCCTAGTTCAGACCAAAGATTAGCAACGAGACAAAACCATTTTAGAACGTTGCAGAGAAAAGTTGCAGCGGTGTGAACTGGCCGGTCTGAACTCGACTCAAGCCGGCTGATGGTGTTACCTGCAACTCAACTGGTCAAATTGCCGGCAGCTGGTTTTGGAACTTAAAGCATGTCACCTCTTTCTACAGCTGCTGGTCAAGTCAAAATGACCGCAGACGGTGGTCTTATGCTTATGCCCCCACACACACCCACATTCTCATTGACTGATTAATTGGCACTGGTTATTAATATCATTGTGGGGTGTTTATTACGAATACAGTCTATCGTTTTGTTAACGTTTTTCGCCGTTTCATCACTACTCCAAATGCAACTGTAGCCAGTATCTCACTGTCACTATCCTTGTTCATATTTTAAGAAGCTACAAATTATATTCAGTCACAAAATAAACCTGAAAAGCTGCAAATCAGAACAGAAGTACAGAGAGTTGTTGCATAGAGATGATACACCATCTCATGTAGTGGCATTGGTGTGAACCGCCAGGTTTTCAGAATGTTGCAGAACGACGCAATGCAAGTAGTTGCATGTTTTTAACTTGTCTCGTTGCAAATCTTTGGTCTGAGCTGGGCACAAGTAAAAGACCTGCATTCAGAATAGTACCCACATAAATGGCCTATTGTTATGCTATGTTATGTGTTAGCTTGCCAGCCTAAATGCTTAAACTCTTGTAACAGTTTATAGAGTGGTGCTACAGCAATATGAGGTCCAGCATATGGATGATAAACATTGTCGACACCAGCTGGTGTAGATGAAAATTAGCTCCAGCTACTATAGGTAGCTAGACAGATGTGACAGTGAAGTATTACATAAAATAAGCTCGAGAAAAATAAAAGATTGATGTAAGTTTAATGTATTTACTGTTTATAACTTGTCTGACCTTTTCCAATGTTTTGTCAGGGTAAAAAAAATCCAACTAGCTACATAGAATGATGCAGATAAAGAAAAGAAAGAAAAATAAAGAAATGTGTCCATGTAAGGTGAGATTATTTTGTAAAGGTGTCTGATAAAGAAAGTAGGAGAACTGTAAATGCAGCACTGTAGCATGAGAAGGAAATACCCTGGTTAAATTCAAATTGTACTTCAGTAAATATACTGAGTTACGACCACAACTTCCTGTCACCATTTTTGTCCCTGTTGCATTTGTATCATTGTTTATTTCTTATTTTCTATTTGACGGGGCATCTGTTTGTGTGGAGAAGCTCAAAAACAAATGGTCTTCTATGTTTGTGTACTTGTGACAGGGAGAGATAAGGCGGCGTGGAAATCCATTTTGCGTGGGCTCGGCCTCCCAACTGTCTCTGCCTTTGTTGTACAGTCTCCATCTCCATCCGACCACATGTTGGAGAGATATTTACAGCTTCTTTTAATAGGATAATTTCACCGTCATTACCATTCCCATCAGCTAATCCTATAAACCACACTCTCATGTCCCCCCCCCTTGTCTCTTAAAGCATAGCATCACTTTGTGTTTGCCATTCGAAGCTTAAAACTGTATTAGTCTGCCCCATTGTCATCCGTCAGCGGTTGTCAGTCAATGAATCAAAGGACTGATTATGCAATCTGTTGCCTTCTGGCTGCCAGAGAGTATTGATAACAGAGTTTTAAAGTGATGAATGTTGTTTTGTTTTTTTACCACCATGTGTGACTTAACATGAATGACTGCTGATAGGTCACCTATGGAATAATTAATTTGTGCAGTTTAGTGCAGTTGGAGAACTGTGCATAGGGTGGATGGAGAGATCCAGGGGGTTATTTTGTCTCAATCAAACAACCTATTAGGTCAGGTCAGACTGTGTATTACGCAAAACACATTGTGTCTGTTGGCTACTGATGTAATTAATCTGCGGCAGTGAACTCCTACGCACAACCATCCAAACATAACAATCATCTTTAATAGTAGTAGATTGCACATTATTTATGTTGTTTAAAAATTGTAACTTTATTTTTTCCATGATGTGAGATCCCACTGTGACATGTAACCGAGTAACGTAACGTACTAAGCAAGATGAATAAAGAAAGCACAGATAAGGGAAAAACAAAAACATTCATACACAAACCTTCAACAAGGTAGCAAAAATTATATCAGAAATAATAAAAAGTGACTAAATACAAACAATGTACTATCCAAACCCTGGCACCCACAGGTCCATACAATTCAATCCAAGGATACTTCTAAATTCATATTATTCACAGGTCCTGCCCCAAAAAACTGAGGGCAGAAGTTTGTTTTCTCCTCTGATTCAGAAACTCTTAAGCCTCTTAAAAGTCCCCCTCTCTTCTCCTAACTTTTTCTCAGGAGCTCTATGAAGGGCTAAGATGCTCTGCGAATAATTTTTATCTTTACAAGGACCTAGTCTTAACTTTAAGGGGAATTTCCACGAAAGCATCACAATTCTTAAAGTTTTCGTAGGAGCAACTCTTAGTAGTCGGAAGCTTTGTGAATACGGCCTCTAGTGTCACAGTCCCACACTTAATATGTCTGCCATCCACCCTGACCACCTCTCTGCAAATTCAGCTTGTCACATAATTGTAGTATTTCATTAACTAAAAGACATGTCTCTGAACAAGATCCAGGCAGTGATTATGCTGTAATAATGAATACAATTTAGAGAATAATTTCCCGGGGAAAGGGTTGCATAGTGGCACGATAGTAAAAGTCGGGGCATCATTGAAGTCATAAGGATAGAATAACTGTACACAGTTGTGTGCCAGTCCATGTAATAGTTGTTGAGATAATGCACTCTAGATCAAAAAGATGTGCCAACCAACCGACTGACGCCCCAGGTATGGCTGGAAATAGCAGCCACCTTCATCCTGTACACTTCAGACCTTGAAATGGATCTTTCTACTATGCTCCCAGGGTGTATTATGATCTATTATAAATTCTGTTGCATAGAATCTAATCTTACAGCCGAATGAATAAAATTCTTCCTTATCTCCCCCAGGAACCAAGGAAAAAAGATCAAGTACTTTAAAGCATTTACACTATATGCAGATGATAAACTATTCTATTCTAACCTCCACTCTTCTTCTCTCTTTTTCCCTGCCCCTACTGTCTGCAGGGCGGTGGTGCACATTCAAGTCAACGATGTCAATGAGTTCGCCCCAGTGTTTCGGGAGCCCCAGTACCGAGCCACAGTGACGGAGGGCAAGATTTACGACAGCATCCTGCAGGTGGAGGCCACTGACCAGGACTGCTCCCCTCAGTACAGCCAGATCTGCAACTACCAGATCACCACCAGCAACACGCCCTTCGCTATAGATCGCAACGGTGAGTAGAAGAGAGAAAAGGTGTATTTACAGTTTTATTTTGTGCTGAAGTGACATCACTTTTTTGGTTTTGCCACTTTACTGCATGTGCAGCACTTCCGCTTCACTTGTTTGAGTGATTTACTGCATGTCAGAGCACATCTTCCCAATAAGGATTGAAGTTTTCTGCTCTTCATCTTATTGAGAGAGGATGTATAAATACATTTCTGTCATAACATAATGGCACTTGTGATCTAAAAATCCCATCCCTGCACACACGCACTTTACAGCCACAGGATATACACGCACAGGCACTCATGCTACACACACATACCTGCATACGCTCCGGTAGCAAAACTTAATACTCTGACAGATGCCTCTCCCCAGGATAAAACATGTTCTTTGCTCTTTCCAAGGACAAAGTCAAGTTTTGCCCAGAGAGCCATCGGTCACTACAAATCAGATCACAGACGTCTGAGCACAAACAAACATGACAAACACACACAGACAGAGATAAATGCTAAGAAAAATCCGTGGGCATTCTCAAATACCCTTACAAATGTACTTGACTTCACCGAGTTGCCACTTGCACTTTGTAACTTTGTTCTTGGACACTACAAATAAAGTCACTCACACACACAAATATCCATATAATTTGTTTGTGACAGATACCCTCACAAATCTGACAGATTGGGCATCTTCTCCAATAACATGTCCTCTACCGACCTTTTGGGCCATCTTAGTTTGATGGAGGACATACTGAACTCAGACATTTAGTATTATTACACTCATATTTCAAAATAGTCCACAGTTTTGTCTTTTTTGTTTTAACACTCGACACTAGTTGGGCAGCTCACACAAAGTCAAGTAGGGTAAAATGTGTTCCTTGAGTGCACATTTTAACTTTAAACTTCTTGATGACCACTGTTAGACAAGCTTTTTCAAATGGCTCATCTGGCTCTAGTGTCTCTCCTAAACAATCTGCATAAACTTTTTATTCTCCTTGTAGAAGACATACTGGATGCAAAGGACATTACTGTTTAGATTTTTGTTGATGCAGACTGCCGAGCGTTGCCCACTGCTGAGGTGTTGCAATAAAAAGGCTGTGTGGATGAGGTTAGGGCCAAACTGCACTGTGAATGATACAGAGGGGGGGAGGCTGCAGCCAGAGTGCTCTTTTTTCTCTCTCTCCATTTCAAGGGGTCTCGCTCAGCCATTGACCGCTGAGGAAAAGGCTTTGAGAGCTCTTGAACTCAAGAGCACCTGAGGGAGGGAGGAAGTAGATGGAGGGAGGACAGGAGGAGTTGACTGTGAGGGCGAGAGTAATGGCTATGAGAGGATCAGGGAGAGAAGTAGATACAAAGCTGAAGCGTGGATAAATTAAACAAAAGGGATGGCGATGGTGATATTCTAGAAGTATGCTCATCGAAAACACGTCCTATCAAAAGACCAAAAGCAACAATGAATGATGATAATGACAAGTATTTCCTGTGTAGCCAGAGTCTGATATATATTTTTCCTCCATGCTCCAGAAACTATTAAAGCACATCAATGAACCACACTTCCTTTGTTACTAGGAACACACACTCTGTAGTTTATTGCCTCATTTCTCATTTCATTTCATTTCATTTGACTCATGACCTTATCACACGGTATGGAGTACAAACATTACATACAATAACAAAGCAATGGCACATGGCTTGGTTAAAGTACAACCAATGTTACTTAAACAGAGAACGGACATTCTTCAAAAAAGCATCTAGTTTACTAATAACTTTTGGTTTATCTGATTGTATAACAAAATGAATTTAAACATAGCTGGCCGATTTTACTAATACTTAGGCAAATATTTTTCTCTGTAAGTTATTAAGCTTACGTTTGGACATTTAAACAAAATATGATATTCATCTCCCACATGATTTTCATCACAGAGGCTGCAGATCCTTCATATCTTCCAGTGACTTTAGGAATTCTGGTGTTATTTACTCTAAAATTACAAATACCCTGTCAGTACTTTTGGTTTTCATGCAACAGATACTTCTCCAGTTTAAACTCTTGTTTAATTTCGACATATATATATATATACAGTACAGGCCAAAAGTTTGGACACACCTTCTCATTCAATGCGTTTTCTTTATTTTCATGACTATTTACATTGTAGATTCTCACTGAAGGCATCAAAACTATGAATGAACACATGTGGAGTTATGTACTTAACAAAAAAAGGTGAAATAACTGAAAACATGTTTTATATTCTAGTTTCTTCAAAATAGCCACCCTTTGCTCTGATTACTGCTTTGCACACTCTTGGCATTCTCTCCATGAGCTTCAAGAGGTAGTCACCTGAAATGGTTTTCCAACAGTCTTGAAGGAGTTCCCAGAGGTGTTTAGCACTTGTTGGCCCCTTTGCCTTCACTCTGCGGTCCAGCTCACCCCAAACCATCTAGATTGGGTTCAGGTCCGGTGACTGTGGAGGCCAGGTCATCTGCCGCAGCACTCCATCACTCTCCTTCTTGGTCAAATAGCCCTTACACAGCCTGGAGGTGTGTTTGGGGTCATTGTGCTATTGAAAAATAAATGATCGTCCAACTAAACGCAAACCGGATGGGATGGCATGTCGCTGCAGGATGCTGTGGTAGCCATGCTGGTTCAGTGTGCCTTCAATTTTGAATAAATCCCCAACAGTGTCACCAGCAAAACACCCCCACACCAACACACCTCCTCCTCCATGCTTCACAGTGGGAACCAGGCATGTGGAATCCATCCGTTCACCTTTTCTGCGTCTCACAAAGACACGGCGGCTGGAACCAAAGATCTCAAATTTGGACTCATCAGACCAAAGCACAGATTTCCACTGGTCTAATGTCCATTCCTTGTGTTTCTTGGCCCAAACAAATCTCTTCTGCTTGTTGCCTCTCCTTAGCAGTGGTTTCCTAGCAGCTATTTGACCATGAAGGCCTGATTGGCGCAGTCTCCTCTTAACAGTTGTTCTAGAGATGGGTCTGCTGCTAGAACTCTGTGTGGCATTCATCTGGTCTCTGATCTGAGCTGCTGTTAACTTGCCATTTCTGAGGCTGGTGACTCGGATGAACTTATCCTCAGAAGCAGAGGTGACTCTTGGTCTTCCTTTCCTGGGTCGGTCCTCATGTGTGCCAGTTTCGTTGTAGCGCTTGATGGTTTTTGCGACTCCACTTGGGGACACATTTAAAGTTTTTGCAATTTTCCGGACTGACTGACCTTCATTTCTTAAAGTAATGATGGCCACTCGTTTTTCTTTAGTTAGCTGATTGGTTCTTGCCATAATATGAATTTTAACAGTTGTCCAATAGGGCTGTCGACTGTGTATTAACCTGACTTCTGCACAACACAACTGATGGTCCCAATCCCATTGATAAAGCAAGAAATTCCACTAATTAACCCTGATAAGGCACACCTGTGAAGTGGAAACCATTTCAGGTGACTACCTCTTGAAGCTCATGGAGAGAATGCCAAGAGTGTGCAAAGCAGTAATCAGAGCAAAGGGTGGCTATTTTGAAGAAACTAGAATATAAAACATGTTTTCAGTTATTTCACCTTTTTTTGTTAAGTACATAACTCCACATGTGTTCATTCATAGTTTTGATGCCTTCAGTGAGAATCTACAATGTAAATAGTCATGAAAATAAAGAAAACGCATTGAATGAGAAGGTGTGTCCAAACTTTTGGCCTGTACTGTATATATATATATATATATATCACATGATGTCATACTTCTGAGCTCACTTTGCCACTTTTGCATGAACTGATCTTTCAAATCAACTCCACATACACTTTCCTGCTCAGTGGCAGCCCCAGCACATTTGCTGCCCATGTTGGTTGCTGCAGCTCAGCAGTCAAAGTACTGCATGTGTATTACCAAAATGCAAATAAACAACATAGCTAACAAGAAAAACAAGATGAAAATATGTGCTAATTTGCTTACAGTAACATGTGTTGTAATAATATAAATCAATAAAAAAGAATTACAAATTAAGTTGTTCAGAAGAATAGATAATGAAATTATATGACATATATTAAAATAATAATAAAATATATGAATTAACTTTCTAATTTAACTGGGGATGCACTAATTCTGAAATTCTGGGACGATACTGATACAAATAGCCAAAAGCCAATACCAGTGTTTTTATTTTGATGTGTCTTTTGTTCTGCTTTTGTGCCAGGGAAACACAGAAATCTACACAATAAAAAAGTGAATAAATTAAGTTTTGAAGTCATTCAGTCCTTCATTGAGCTCAAATTCAATAAAACACATTTATGAAGCAACCTTTAATATTACCTCCTTTCACATGAAAAAACATCTTTAAAAAATAAGCAAAAAGTAATAAGCACACTGTATATGCCACATCATAATTTTCTCCTTAATGTCTGTTTTACAGAGCTGTGAAAACATCAACACATTTCTCCTTTAAACAGCTGATTTATTCAAGTTTCTCACTAAAAGCTACATTTTACAAGATTACATTGAACACGTCATGAGAACATTATAAGTTACCTTCGCCCAATACTCATATTTACTGAATAGAGCTTGAATGCCTCACAGTGCAAATCAGTGCAACCTCTGTGAGCTGTTTGGGCCCTATTACAATGTTTATGTTGTCAAATTAGAAAAGGTAAATATAGCTGCTAACTTAGCTAACAAAAACTATTAATACATCAGTGAGTCACATTCTCACACTGTGTGACATGTTCATCACCATGACCACTGTTAATTTTCAGTCAATCTAACATACACTGTCATACCGTAAATACTCACTAGCACACTAAATGTGTATTAATCCGCAACTGAAAATAGTCCCCAACAGTTGCATTTTTCTCTAACATTACATTTATTTTTGTATTTATGGGCCAAGGTGCTGTCTGAACAAATACATTTTCATTGATGTGTTCTGCCATTGTGGAGCAAGGACAGCAAACAGTTGTGCAAACATTCATTTAAAAAGAAAAAAAAATGCATTCATGACCTCAGCAGGAACAACCCAC